GGAAATCAAATATCTAAAGTGCATGCCACTGTAAACTTTATAAAAAACAGAACAATTAAAGAATATTATCTTTGTACAATACAATGTATATTTATATAGCACCTTTCACATTGGGAGAATGTTCCAAAGCACATTCACAGTGCTGGATGGGCACCCCGACTGGGGGTGGGGAGAGGAAAGATGACTGAAAGTGGGGTCAAAAGGTACATTTTGAGACATGCAAGGAGAGGCAGGGAGTGAATTCCAAATCCTAATAGCATGGACAGAATGGCTGAAAGTCAGTCCTGCTGTTGTCAGGGCAGTTAGGGTGGGGAACATGAAGCAAGCCGATGCTCGCTGAGTGAAGCGAGTGGCCTGGTTGATAGGGTTGAAGGAGGTCACAGTGTTAGGGTGAGACGAGACCGTGGAGGGATTTAAAGGAGGGATCAAGGATCTGCTGGTGGATGGTGAGCCGATGGAGCTGAGTGGGCTGAGGGTGATAGGCTTACGGAGCCTAGTGAGGAAGAGGACAAAAAGGACAGAGTTCTGGATAGTCTGCAGCTTATGTAGGGACAAGCTGAGGAGTCCGGTGAGCAAAGCATTGACATCGTCAAGCTTGGATGTGATGAAGGCCTGGATGAGGGTTTTGATAGCCTTAGGGGCGAGGTGGTGGAGTAAATATATAATGTAATACAAGTCTGGGTACAGTGTTCATAACATAGAAAAACATTTAGGTTTCACATGAATCATCCTTAAAATATACATCAGTACCATAAAATCCCCTGTGTAAGTTTTATTTATTTTCTGCAGCGACTTCTGTTACAACCCCATCTTTGTTGTAATAAACTTTGAAACTTGATCTAGAAATTCAGGAAAAATCTGAATTGGCAAAAGCAACATGATTATTTCTGTCAGACAACTTGTAAGAAAACAAGAAAAGTGTAAAAATAGTTGTCAAATCTGGTGCAAGTGTGTCAGAAAGAAACAAACTCATAGAATGACTGTACTGTTTCCAATAAAACAAAGTTGAGGCACTTTTAACCGCAGGGGCAAAGAAGAGGGTTGTGTAACCTTTTTTTAAAAAATCTCATATTATTTTTGAGGCAAGTGCTAGACAGCTAGGATTGAAGTAAGGAGAAAATTAAAATCAGACAAATGTTTTAAGATGTTAAAACATCTTAAGATGTTTTAAGATGTTAAAACATTCTGAGATTTCAAAGATGTTTTAAGATGTTAAAACATTCTGAGATTTCAAAGAGCCCCAATTTCATGTTCCACAAATTGAAAAAACAGTGGAATGTTTGTACTTTTTATAAGCATATTTAATAGATGAAAACATAATTGTTTGAAAAATGTACGCAGAGGTTCAAAGATATTACTTTTCTCTCTAACATGCAAATGAACTACAAACCTGTTCTAATCAAACAGACAATGAATAAAAATACATCAGCAATTCTTTTCAATTAAAAAGTCAAATTGATTACTTAAGAATCCTATGAACTATGACATAGTGATGGTTCTTGGATAAATATTTGCTACAAAAACCTCTTACATGTAAAAATAAATAATAACTGGAATACAAATCTTACACATTAGCGTAGGAGCTCCCTAATAGCTTAGCAAGGGTACTGAGCCAGATGGGTTGTGGGTTTGATATCTGATCTACGCTGAATTAAGTCTTTTTTTATTGCCTTAAGGGAATCAGACATTTGCACAACTAGATCAGGACTAACATTTAGTAGTTACAGGGAGGGGAAAGCCTCCCCCCTGCATGGTTGAGCATCGTGGAGTCCTGTAGCTCAGTGGTTAGAGCACTTACTTTGCAAGTGAGAGACCTGAGTTCAATTCCAAGCAGGGCGAAACCTTGGGCAAGTTTCCTTACTCCACACACCTAATAATAATCCCTCCAAAACTAAAAACAATAATAAATTGGTCATTTTCAATCTACGACTGTTTGTGGGACATTGCTGTGCGCAATTGGCTGCCGCGTTCGCCCACACATATACAGTCAATTCACTTTACAGTGTGTTCTGTGAAGCGCTTTGGGACGTCCTCCCGACGTGAAAAGCGCTATATCAAATGCAAGGATTATTATTATTATTATTGAGCATCAATAATGGGACAACCTGAAGGACCAAAAAGAGAGTACTGGAAATTATAGCAGTTGTATGAAAGGACTGCTAATATAATTGAGGCTATCCTTGTGTTAAATGATGAGGTTGTTGCTTGAAGGGTAACATTGACTGGAGACCATACCCACTGTGACTTTCAGACAACGTAACTAGCTCTGAAAACATTCAAATATTTTGTCAATCTGATCCCCAAATAACCCTTTTCCTTAGAAAGTTATTTTATCTCATTTTTTCTGGCAGTTTTTCTACTCTCACCTCCACCTTTACTGGAGACATTTAGTTCCTTTTTCCTTATATTGTGTTTCATTCCATCTAGCAAATCTGTAAGAAGGATTTCAACTGCCTGTAGTTTTGTCTCTTGAATATTTTGAGTTACCTTAATATTGAATATGTCAATTGGTTTGATCCTTTACTCATGCCCTTAATCTGAAGAAAATACTAATACTAATAATCGTTGCTTTTGATATAGCACTTTTCACATCTTCTCGGTGTCTCAAAGCGCTTCACAGAATAGACTGTAAAGTGAATTGACCGTATATTTGTGGGCGAAAGATCACCGAGGGCTTCAAAATTCTCCTCTGAGAAGTATTATCTGATTCCCAAGTGTCTACTAGAATAGCTGTGGATCTGCCTTTAAGGTTATTTGTGGGTCAACTGACCAAATGAGTGAAGAGACGGCCTACTGCTGTGCTGTTAAGGCTTTGCTTTTTATCAGTAGACATTTACTGCAATCTGATTTATTTTGCCAACTTTCATTAATTCTATGAAGATTTTCAAACTGACTGTTTATTTGTTTGGATTTCAGTGCCATTTCTTTGGTCCTTAATCTTCCCTCCCTCCCTCGCAACTGAGCATACTTTTCCCCCACATGGCTGCACAAACAAGCACTACGTTTAGAGCGTTTTGAAGTGAGACCAGCAGACCCAGTTGATTTTGATTTCCGAACATTGCTCGGTTGCAAGCATCAAACTCAGCACAGACTGATATCCATATCAGGAGGCCTCCAGCTACCCATGTTTGGCTCATTTGTTCATATCAGTGTATAGTAAGTATAGCAATTTATATACCTGTAAATTATTTTAATATAAGTTTATTGAACCAACCTATTTTGAAGATTGAGAAATAATTTTACTGAATCCAATTCATTCAATAGGTGACTGAAACAGAAATGTGTAAATTCAATATACATGTTATTCCGTTATATAATGTATTTGTTTTTGTGGTATTTGTATGTAGATAAACCTAATAATCATTTTGATTTTAAATTTCTGGTCTGTGCCGTAATACCCACTTCACTAAAGGTTTGGTAGTAAAGCCTCTTCTCCAGTGCCTTTACACAGCACCTTTCACATGAGTGCTAGTGTCACAAGCACTCTATCTCAGGCGCTGTCAGCATCACCATCCATGCTTGCCCTGTCCACCTTGTTAAGCCAGTACGGAACCTTGGGGTCTTGTTTGACCCTCAACTATCCTTTCTACCCCACATCTGCGCCATGACCCACTCTGCCTTCCCCCACCTCCGCAACATCGCCCGGCTCCGAAACTGTCTGACACCACATGCCGACGAAACCCTCATACACGCTTTCATTACATCGAGGCTTGACTACGCAAACTCCCTACTTGTCGGCCTCCCCTACTCCTCCTTCCATAGGCAGCGGATCATCCAGAACTCTGCAGCCCATGTCCTCTCCCGCACCAGGCTCTGTAACACTGGCTTCCCATCATCGTAACCCCCATCCTTGCCCGACTCCACTGGCTTCCCATCATACAGAGGATACAGAGGATACAGTTCAAGATCCTGGTTCTCACCTTCAAAGCCCTCCATAGTCTTGCTCCCCCTATCTCTGCGACCTCCTAACTCCCTACCAACCTGCCCACTCCAGTCTGCTTCACAACCCCCGCCTCACCTGCCCCACCATTGGTGGGTGGGCCTTCAGCCTCTCTGATCCACTCTCTGGAACTCCACCCCGCAGTACCTTTGCCTTACCCTTCCCTGCCTCCTTCAAGACCTGTCTCAAGACCCTCCTCTTCATCCGTGCCTTTGATCGCCCTCCTTCCCCGATGCCTTCCACCCTCCCCAATCCCAACCCCCAGCTCGGGTCCGAAACACTGATTTTCCAGTGCCTTGGGATGTTGTTGTTTGGTAGCATGGTGTACTTCCAGTAGCATAGGGTGACTCTCTGCTTGTCGTCTTCCCAACTCTTCCCGCCACAAGTTGCAGATCATTCAGAACGCTGCAGCTCCGCACTAGGCTTTGTGACAGCATGAGCCCCATCTTCGCTCGGCTCTGCTGACTCCCCATCCCCCAGAGGCTAGAGTTCTAAATCCTCATCCTCATTTTCAAAGCCCTCCACCACCTTGCTCCTCCCTACCTCTGTGACCTGCTAACCTAACCCCATACTGACCTGTAAGCTTCCTCAACTCAGCAGGCTCTGATTTGCTCCATGTCCCCCGCCCACCAGCCCACCATCGGCAATCAGGCCTTCGGCCTCTCCGCCGTTACCCTTTGAAACTCCATCCCACAGACCTTTCACCTCGCTCCCACCCTTGCCTCCTTCAAGCCCTGTCTCAAGACCCTCCTCTTCGACTGCACCTTTGGCCACCTTCCCACCCCTACTCTTCCTGTCCTCCACCCCTTATGATCCCAACCCCCAGCTCAGGTCCAAATCCCTGACTATCCAGCACCTTGGGATGTCCTCCCGATATGAAAGGTGCTGAAGAATTGTAATTTGTTGTTGTTGTTGTATTAAATTGCAGGGCTTACAGGATCACCTGTGAAACTGTTGGAGGAGAATTATTTTTTAAAAAATGAAAATGTTACTTGACATCTTGTGATGCTAGTAAGTTCCAGATGCTAGTAACTGTTACTGTAAAAAGGCAACAAATTAATCACTTTTTTTATTTTATTGTCTCATAGGACCCATTTTAGGACCCATACTTTCCAGCCTAATGTCAATCATGAGACGTCAGTTTGAGCTGGACCGTCATTTTGGAACACTTGGTTTACATGATCGTTGATGGACAATCAGTCTGTCTGGTAGGAAAGTACGTCCACAGTTATCACAAGGTATCAATTGGGCCAAGGAACTTTGCCAGGCCGCCTCATTTAAAGCCTCTGGATCATATGAACCTGTACCTGAAAAGATGAAGGAAAAATATGTTTTCATTTTGAACAAACATAAATGTCTGCTTTGTGAAATATATTCAGGAAATATACAACTATTGGAGTGAATAGTTTAAACAAAGAATTTTAGAGCCCATCTGGTAAGTAATGTTAGACTAAATTCTTTTAACATGGCGTAGCTATTTATCTTATATTCCTATTGAAATATTGTAGTGCCAGTACACTGCTAAGACTTTTTGTAATATATTGCCTGACAACAGAAATACAGCATTTCATTGAATCAATCCCTGCAGCAGCTACAAGCAATGTTTGGCAACATCGTTGATTATTAAGTCAGACAAAATCTTTTTTTGGTTGATTTATCTTTCTTTTCTAACTGGTTTCAAGATATCCTCCTTTGATTTAACATTCTTTACAATTTCTTTTTTCATTAAATCTATTTGCGACTTGCTTTACGTCTTTCATTATCTTTCTTCTTTACTTTGTAATCCCTTTTTCTTTTGTCACTTATCCACATTTTTTTATCTTTTTTGACTTTCCATACAGTCTTTCCTTTATTGTTCTTTCAAACCTCTCCCGCATTCGCAAATGTGCCAAGATCTATTTCAGAAGATGATTTGTGGAAGTAGTGATCTTTGCTGAATGGAAACCTTGAGTGGAGACAACAGGTTGATTTTTATTTTCACTTAACATGGCTGCAATGCGTGGTGACATGTGTAGAAAGAACTCTTTGAAGTAAACTTAACTCAGACTAGATCTAGCAGCAGGCTAACAAGTATTAGCAGACTGAGGAGGGATCTGAGGACACATGACAGCAAGCTAAATCAAAACAGAAGAAAAACATTCCATTCTACTTGATTCATACATAGCATTAAGTGTACCTCAATACAAACTTTTTGACACCTTGATTGAATTTATCTTCAAATGAGCTCTGCTGCTTACTGTAAAGTATTTTTTCTGTTCTGAAAATTCACCCAGAGGATTTGTGTTCTATTATTTTTAAGAAGTCTTGTTGCTCTGTTATTTGTACATTTTACTGTAGAATGTGAGCTCTAATGGATCACTGCTGGATTATTCAGAATAAGCTGACTTGCTGGATCTGGTCTGCATCATTGTCTTATGTGCCAGCTGTTATGCATTATTCACCACAGCCAAGAATCTAGGATTGTGTTCACTCTCAACCATATTTTACACTGTCACTCTCTTTCTGCCCAACTGAAATTGGAGTGAATCAAAATGCCATAAAGGCAGGTTTATTGATTAGAGCAACAACTTATATTCATATAGTATCTCTCCATAAAAGGATATCTAAAAGGACTTGACAAAATGAGATGAAATAAAAAGAAGCAAATGTTGTTATGTAGGCAAATGTGATTGTTAATTTGTGCCAGCAAACCAACAATGAGTTGAGCAGCAAATACTATGCATTGTTGGGTGAATTTAGGTGAATGAGGGATACCATCCATGCCAACATAGAAACATTCCCCACTTTTCTTCGGCATACTGGAGGGGATTCTTTAACCTTAAGAAATGCTAGAATCACAGTTAATATTCCATGAGAACCTTATCTCAATTTCTGTTCCAGCACCTGTGGAATTAATAGAAGGATAAAAGTCAAAACTTCAATTGTGTGTCAAATATATATATTTCGATGTATCTAAAACACATTACATCAACCTGAAGTTCTTGTTACAAGGATTATTTGTTACTTGTTGGTAGAGTGAAGGAGAAGGAAGGGTACTGACAATTTTGACAGTACACCTTTCTGGAGTAACTACTAGAGCAGTCACAGCAGCGTTATAATTTATAGTTTGTTTTTAGAGGCGAGTTGTAACCTTGGCGACAAACCGTTAAACGTACAGTATTTACTTCATTGAACATAGATTAGATTTGTGCTAGAATATGTTTGTATTGGCTGCAATAAATCATCAGAGTTTATTTACAGCACGAAGGTTTCAGCTCGTATTTACTGAGTCTAAAGCTCCATTTGTTTGATATTAGTTTGTGAATAATTTTCTCCATCAAAACTGAACCATGTTCTGCATCAGGCGCAAACACAAGTTTGTGCTGCCTGTGATCTCAGCCTCCAAGCCTTCAGCATTTGTGATTCTAATCCTATGTCAATTGGAATTCTTTTCCATATAGTGACAGTTAAAACTTTACACCTACTAACTAACTACTTAAGTGGCAAATTCTGAAAAAGATGAATTTGATTCAATCTTAAATATCATCTTGGACTGATACAATTGTTACAGTGAGAGTCTATTAATACATAGTAAGGAGAAATGTGACACAATTCTTTCCACAAACAGTTATCCGACAAAAAAATGTAAGATTCAGGTACTGAAAGTTGGTCCAATGGTTATTGTGAAGAGAAATCACATCACACTGATTGATAGCCAATATCTAGGTTCCACAATCTCACATGGATGCATATATTTTGTGTCCATTTTGCCCACAAAATTTTGTGTCCATTTTGCCCACAAAATATGTAATCAATTCACTTTACAGTATATTCTGTGAAGCGCTTTGAGACATCTAGAAGCCATGAATAGCGCTATATCAAATGCAAGGATTATTATTATAATCTGCCTCTAATTCTTTGAAGGTCCAGAAGGATTCAAGGGTGGACCATTGGTAACATGAGGTATGCTTTAAATACCATGGCTAATAGCACCATTATGTTTTTGTCAAATAAATTCTGAAGTTGCACATAATCAATCACACGTGAACTCCACACTTGACATTGAAGATACCTTTTAAAGCAAATGAAGAAAAAGATTTGGTTGCTTGGATCCTGTAGTTGCTTTGCATAATTATTCCATAAGAGACAGTAAATTTGGGATAAAGTGCTTCCTGTTTCAAAACATAGTCAAAGTAAAACCATCCGCATTGCTATACTTGGAGGCAGAAAACTGGCTTCAGAATTAAGACTGAATTAAATTTAGGAAATTCTGTACAGAAATACTAAGAAAATAGTGCAAGTCAAAAACCAGGTGGAATTTCTCCCAAACAGCAACAGCCAGCTGAAGTTGCACGTGGAGATTTTGATGACAAATACTGTATAACACTGAAGAAATTCAGTAAAGTGTTGGCAGGCAAACATGACATGACCCTATAACATGTTTCTTTAATTGTTTTGACATAGTCGTCATTGTTGAACTTTGATAGACTGCCAGTGATAAATAGCAGTTTTTCAATTATCTGTAAAGAAATTAACATACATTAGTTGCACAATTGTTTCCTCCAAAAAAAATCAAAAATGAGTCCAATGCTGCTACATTGTGATTTAAAACTAATTTATTCTACACATTATGCAAGATGTACAGTAGTATTTTGCCTGCTCCCAGCTTGTGTTCCTTTACCAGATTGTTTCACTCTTGGAGTTTTTTTTTATTCCTTTCTGGAGTAACTATTAGAGCAGTCACAGCAGCAACAGGATCCCTTTCTGTGTGACTTTGTCTAAGAGAAAGGTCGAGGAATGCTCCTCGTATTGAGATACCATTAATAGCAGTCACTGTCGCTTCAGAGTTAGATGATGCATTGCCTCAGCTGGAGAACTGCCAAAGGCGTGGTTGAAGAGGAGGTATTAAGATATGCCTTGAAGGAGGCAAGAGAGGGAGCGAGGCGAACGGACAGTGGGATGGAGTTCCAAAGGATGGGGGCAGAGGCTGAAGGTGTGGTGGGCTGGGCGGGGGACGTGGAGCAGGCCACAGTCTGCTGTGTGGAGGGAGTGGACAGGTTGATGTGGGGTTAACAGGTCACAAAGGTAGGAAGGAGCAAGACCATGGAGGGCCTTGAAGGTGAGGACGAGGATTTTGAACTCTATCCTCTGGGGATAGGGAGCCGGGCGAGGTGGGGGTGATGGGTTCACAGAGACTGATGCGGGAGAGTTCACAAACTGGAGAGTTCTGGATGATCTGCAGCTTGTGGAGGGAAGAGTTGGGGAGGCTGACAAGCAGGGAGTTGGCATAGTTGAGCCTGGATGTGATAAATGCGTGGATGAGGATTTTGGTGGCCTGAGGGGTGAGGCAGTGGCGGAGCTGGGCAATGTTGCAGAGGTAGGGGAAAGTAGAGCTGGTCATAGAAGGGTAATCAACATTCAGTCCATGCTCCAAACAATACAAACTAGTTTATAATCCACACAATCGGTAACACTACAATAATCACAATTTGGGTCAGTGACTTCACTTAGCTCAGTACTGACCACTTCTTCCAAGCTCTTGTGTCAAAAAAGGGACACGGTCATATCGTCAGTTTTCCTTTTGCGAGTCTAATATTGTACACTAATATAAACTTTGTAAAAACAGACCCTTTGTAATTCCATTCACCATGATGTACTGCCTTGGATAACAATTCATTCTGTTTCAATGATGGATACATCAATTATGAAAGCTATGTGGTTTCATCTTAGGATTCGATACATGGTGTCTATTACTGAATTTAGGTTGCCAAGGCACAATCACAATTCCCTTCCATTCATCACTGAAATGTTCTTTAAAACCAGCAATTAAAGGGCTTACAGATGGTTCTCAATTATTGACTTCTCAGGACATCTCATTGTATGGACATACTTTTTGAAGTTCCATTCACCATAAAGTGTGAATGAGACTAATTTGGTTACATTATTTTGCTTTAATCAAAACCTAGTGTCAAATTTTCTATTCACTTTCTGAATGAAACAAGCTTATGCTTCAAAGAATGAATGTGTATTGATGGAATGAAACCTGTTTGGGAAGAGTTCTTAATTGTTAGGAGGGGACAAACTGCAGAAATATGCAACAACAGAGATGTAAACTGCAGGGAGAGAGAGAAACATAGAGAGAGAGAAAAACAGAGAGAAAATTCATCTTAAGAGGAAGCTTGTATTTCAAAGAGATCTAGACCATGACATTCTGAAAACACATTCAGGAAATCAGTGATCTTTTGTGTTAAGTTTTTTTCCATTTTTACCTTTTATTTAATCCTGAACATTTTGAGTCGTATATATTAAGCTATTTAGTCTTTATTAA